CTCGATTAACGTTTTCACTTCTCGCCTCGCAATGTTATTACCATTTACTGCCATTCACAAAATACTCAAAATGATAGTGTGACCATTTAAAGCAAAAATACCGAAAATACCAACACTGGCATATAATTTGCAAGCTTTGTCGTAATTGGTCAAATATGACATCAAATCAATGCACGGTAATCAAACGCCACGTAAAGTGTGAAAAGAGAACTTTATCGATAGATGGACATTTTAAATATGAACGAATGGACCACATGCTTCGCTCATGAATTTGGTATTACAGAATTTGAAATACCCATTATTATTGTAGACTAAACTGATGCATAAAAATAAAATTAAAAAAAAAAAAAAAAAATTGAAGCGTATGCAGATATTGATTATTAATTTCGATAGCCCAATAATCAAAATCAGAGCAATCGAATAGAAAAAATATTCTGTATTGAATTGTACAGCACAAATATAAGTTTAATTGTGATTAAATTCCACATAGATCTGTAGTTGATATATTAGTCCTCTTATTGAATATACAGATATATTAGAAATACAGATATATTAGAAAAGTTCAGAGCTAAGGTTGGCCTGATATACTCCTTAAATATGTATATTTTCAAAATTATAACTTAATTTTTAAAATACCGAAATTGGAATATTGTATAGATGATTTTATGGAAATCGGTTGCTTTCAATCGAAAGTCACGATAAAGATACATCGAATGAGCATCAATCAATATCGCCAAAATGTACATCGAGTATCCGATGTTTTCTTACATCACTAATAAAAATTGTAAGTGGATTCAAGTTCAGCAATAATCCAGGCAAAATTCGCAAAAAAAACAGAGTGGTAAAAACAATAATACTCGCGGACTGCACCCAAAACTAAAGGGCCGACAGAAATAGTGCAAGTCACGTCTCACAATACGTGCAGCGCAACGAAATTAACAAAAACAAGACCTAAAACTGTGGAGAGTCGTGGGGATAGATTCAGTCGCTGTCTATCTCTCTCTGCGTGCGTTTGTTTCCAAGTTTCCGTGGCTGTGCTACGTTCGAAAACGCAAATAAGAAATCGTAAATCACAGTCAAACACAAACAAAGAGTGAGTTGCAGCAGTAAAGTGTACAAAACGTTGTTGTTACAATTAAAGTGCGTAACAAAAAGTGAGAGCATAGAAGTGCATGTGTAGAGGGCGCTGTTGTTTTTCCATTAATTAAGAAAGTTGTGTAAAATTTTTCATGTCCACCATTACAATCGTCATCGATAGCTGGCGCTGAGTAGCAAGAGAGAGAAAGAGAGCGCGAGCAGCAATCAATTCGCCCCACGAAACACACACACACGGGCACATATTCACTGATACATGCAAATACTGCTACTCTGCGAGCCTGAGTGAGCGAGCGCGATAGCTGTCCCTGAAATTGGGTGCGTTGCATGCGAAAGCATGTGAGTAAGCAAGACAGAAAGAGTTCTCTCAGAAGTATTGGTGCTTAAATGCAGCGCACAGTGGCCACATATAGCGCAATAAATGTGCGTTTGCTTTTCTGTATGATAACCAAAGGGCAATATAACTGTGAATAATAGAATTACAGGTGCGGGAAAGTGAAGAAAGGCACAGTCTAGTAATCAGTTGTCTGCTAAGCTTTGCAGCTCTTAGCCCTGTCCACCTGCTTCTTTGTTCATTCGCTTTTTGCGTCTTAGAATGTGGAGCTCATTCTATGAATGTGTGCATGCGTATGTATGTGTGTGTGAATATTTGTTTGTTTGTGTGTGTTTACGGATTTATCTACAATCGTTGCTTATCGTCATGCCAGCTTCAACGCCCCCGCTTTATGAGGCCTTCCTCTGATATTTCCACCCTGAGCAAGAGCGAAATTGTGAAGCACTCTGTGGCTTAATGTAAACAAAATCGCATATTTTATTTCCTTTGTTTTTGTATCCGCCTTTTTAATGCGCTGTCATTAATGCTGAGGCCGTTGAAATGAACAAAAATTATGTCGACGTGTTTGAAACGGAACCTATAGGGGTTTGTTTTATCTTTTCTTCTTCCAATTTCAATTATTACACTTGTTGACTTGAATTTGTACTCGTACTATAGTAATTATTTAAATATTTGTGTATATTAGGAGTTGATATTGTTACTACAACTAGCTACAAATATATATGTAAATATTTGTGCTTATAGTTTAATAGAATCATAAATTAAAATTTAACAAAACAAGTTGCAGATTCCATTGATCGCAGATTATTTATAAGCAACGTTTTTATGTCAATGGCTCCAATTATAGGAGTGCGCTCTCTTTTGGTCTTTTCCTTTACCACTTGTTCTCTCTTGTGGCGTGCATGTGTGCGTGTGTGTGTCAGCCGTTTCGTTTTCTGTGTGAATGACGCATCGTCAGCTGTTCTCTAGTGTTGCCTACGGTAATTTCCGGACTTGTCGCTATACCGTTGTTTTATATTTTATTGAATTTTCCTTGAAGGGGTTGCGCGCTGCTTGTGTTCTCTGCTCGACGTCGAATGCTTCCCTATTTCCTCCGTTCGGTACGATCAAAACAACGTCCTTTAAGATTCATAATTGTGTGTGGGGAGGCCAGCTGTTGGAATTTCCAGTCGTGTTTGCAAAAGCATTTATCAATATTGTTCATTTAATTTACAATGTTTGCTTTTTGAAATCATGTGATCTTTTGATTAATTAAAATCGGAATCGAGCTTTGCTACAAGGGAGACTTTAATAATGTATCTCTAATACAATTCAGATTAAATGCAACGTCGCGACATCACGACAAACAGAATACAAAAAAAAAAAAAAAACAAGTGAAAATTTTTATTTCCAGAGAGTGAGAGAGAATGAGAGAGTAAAAAAAAAAAAAATAGCGACACTCGCATTCATACATTTGGCATATTTGCGAGTGTGAGTAAGTGTGTGTAAGTCGTGCTTGACAACTTGATATTTACTTGTGTGTGTTTGCACTTTGCTCTAAAGCGCCAAAACCTCAACGGGTTTCACACACACAGCATACAATAGACAACGTAAAAAAATGTTAGTGCATCAAGTTTTTACTCGATTTGCGCTCACGTTGATGCTGTCTGCCTGCATCGTCGCTGTAATATTGCTTTGACGCTTAATTTAATAATACAACAATAACGAAATGCGCCGCATTTCACTTTCTCTGCTTTACATTGCTGCTGCCTGCCTGCCTGTCCGCTTACCCGCTGCCCCCTGTATATATGTAATTCACTTTGCATTGATTTTTGTCGCGCTCTTTTGTCATATAGTCCAGCAATGCCTTGCCTGTACTGGTACCCGCAGCTGCTGCGGCTCCTCTCTCTCACTCTCTTTAACATATCCGCTTTTAGCCTGTTCTCATCAACACGAGATCCGTGGTTATCAATCTCACTTCCAAATCTGTTTCCTCTCTTGTCACTCTTCTAGTCGGGATTTCTCTGTACAGTTTAGCAGTTTGCTGTTAATTAATTGTACAGACGAAATGTAAACGCGTGTCTGCGTCGCGATCTGATTTAACTTAAATTAAACATAACTTTTACAGAGAAATTCTTATTACTTATGCTACTATAATAAATATGATTCATAGCAAGCAAATTTTAGACTTCCTCGACTTTACAATGGACCTTCTCTCGTGTTATCAATGTGTGCTTTGCGGCATAATTTAATGCTGGGGAATTTTGTGCTCTGGTGAGAATGCAAATCCGCAAGCTCTACTTATGTTGACTAACATCATTGAAATTTATGTAAATTACATCAGTGCCTAAACCAAATTACTGTTTCGGTAACACTGTTAGCCTTTACTTTACAGACCTATACTGTTTTTTATAGGCGCGTTTTGATTAATTTTTTTTTTTGTATTATTTCTGTAGTAGCTAAAGTGAGCAAATTTGTTGACTATAATATGAGTAACTCAGATAAGATAGACATTTAACTGATAACAATTTACATTTGTCTAAATTTCTGTTTTGGTGAAGTTGGAAAAAAAAAAAACAATTTTGTAACCAGATGAGTAAAGTCTTAACACTTTTGTATTTATTTGCTTTAAAAAAACTGACACACAGGCATGAGAACAATAATTGCGCCTAAACATTTTTAAGGTTTCGCCTATTGTGTTGCGCGTGTTTGAAGTATTTTTAGTTGTTCCCCTAGTTGCTCTTTGCTTATGTTGTTGTGATTAGCGCAATTCGCAATTAACTGAATGTATGTATGAGTGTGTTTGTTTTGTGTTTGTTGCTGACACGCAAGTATTTCTCCTCCACACAAATTCTTAACATTGAACTTTGTTGTTCAATTAGCATATACTGTACGTACATATATTAAAATATATAGTACAAACCCAAAAACTTTATGAAATGTATATTGTGTATTTCAGTTATTCATTTATAACATATGTATGCGGTCATATCTGATTGTAGATAAGCTTTCGGCCTTCAGTCGGCCTTGTTTGAAGAGCCTTAGTATTAGTTAGCTTTTGCTTGAAAAGCTCTTTAATTTAAATTACAGCAACTTTGAGTGTTTTTTTTTTTTTTTTATTATCTTTCATTTGATACTTTCCGAAACATTTATAATGGGGCGTTTCTGATTTATATTCTGCCCCTTCAGTTCATCGATAAGCATTTCTCTATATAGAATATGAGAATATGTTTAATTGATTTCGATTAGCACCGATGCAAATACTAAGAGGCGCTGCACGGCCAATGACGTTGACAGCATTATTAAATTATTTATCAGCAGCCGCGAAATTCTCACAAGCTTGTGCATTAATATTTATTCTCTTTTCTAGATTATATATACACATACACGAGCAGACAGAGACAAAGAGAGCAAGATATACCGAGAAATATATACATACAGAGAGAGAGAGAGAGAGAGAGAGAAAGATCTGGCCAGAGAGATTGAGAGAAAATTGAATCTGTTTTGACCGTCCGGAACAAATCTCGCATCAAAAGGCTTATTCCTACGTTTTAAGCGCAATTATAGCATCAACCACAGCAACAGAAAAATAATGGCAACAACACCACGCAGCGGGAGCTCCAGCTCTGGAGCCGCACAACGTCCCAATGGCACCTCGCAGAATAAAAGTTGCCAATTCAAATTGGTGCTACTTGGCGAATCGGCCGTTGGCAAATCGTCCCTGGTGCTGCGCTTTGTTAAGGGCCAGTTCCATGAATATCAGGAGAGCACGATAGGTGCGGCCTTTCTAACACAAACCATTTGCATAGAGGATACAGTGGTCAAGTTCGAGATCTGGGATACAGCCGGTCAGGAGCGGTAAGACTAAAAATAAATGGATGTTAAGTTTAATGCTAATATTAGTGATTGTAGCTTTTTTTATTGTCATGTTGAAACTCAATTATAGTGTAATTAAGAATGTTCAAATTAATATGAATTATGAATCTTATACACATTTATGTTATTCCTATAATGATCATAATTAACATTCATGCTTATGTTACCGTTCATGTGAATATTAATGTTTCAAATAATCAAATAATCCAGAATATTAACATAGGCAATAATTTTATCTTCAATGTATGTGGAATTTAATGCTTCAATGTTAATGTACCCCTAACTGTTAGTATCATGTAAATATCAGCATTTACATTCATTTCAGTTTTCATTCGAAATTCAAGACTTCAATGTTCTTGTAAACATAAATGTTTACATTAACATTCATATTGCTGTACATGCTAACGCCTCTAGGTAAATGTAAATGATAATGCTTTTAGCTGTTAAGGTTACCTGATGTGAATGCTAATAACTCAATGTTATTGTAACCATTAAATTAAATATTTATGCCTCACTTAACATGATTGTTCACCCCAGCGTTAAAATGATTATATTGTATACGAGGCTGGCGCGAAAAATTGAAAGCCGTTAGAAATATATAACAATATTTATTAGTTTACTTAATTTAATTGTTTATAACTCTTTCAAACATTTGTCTAAAATAATTTCTCATTTTGCAGGTATCACAGCTTAGCTCCCATGTATTATAGAGGTGCGCAGGCCGCCATCGTTGTCTATGACATACAAAATCAGGACAGTTTTCAGCGTGCAAAAACCTGGGTCAAGGAACTGCATAAACAAGTGAGTAAACATGGCGTTTGATCTCTTCTTCATTCTCTCTCGAGTGATCGAGCAGAAGCGAAAAAATGCAGAATATGCTCATAAACACAAATGGAATTATTTCTGTCTGTTTTATACACATATGTATGTATATATATTTAATGAATTGAAGCTTTCTGCTGTGCATTGAACTCATTTATTGTTTCCGCCATTGTTTACGGCTCATTGCATACATTACGAAATTATGGACACTGCAATATTTTTTTAAAGAATAAAGTCCAAGATAAAGTGCTTGATATCCAATTCGTAATAAATTCTAGGATATCTGTAATGCTATTGACAACAAGCTTATGGATAGGTGATCTTAAATAGTTAGCTGAGCAAAAAATACCAAAAAAACCTAAAAACAAAATCACATTGAAACGTAATAACGTAATATTTACTAGTTGAGTGAAAGGGATTTTATGATTAGGATTTTTTATAGGACTCAAACGCTGCGTTACAAAATGGAGAGCAAAGATAATTGAAAGTAAATTTAATGCTTAAGGTGAAACTGTTATGAAATCTCGGAATAATTAAAGAATGTGGATTTTATTTACTATACAAACAATATTTATATTATTTTTGTAGGCCTCACCGAACATTGTCATTGCGCTGGCTGGCAATAAGGCGGACTTATCGAACATTCGCGTAGTGGAGTTCGATGAAGCGAAGCAATATGCAGAAGAGAATGGTTTGTTGTTTATGGAAACGTCAGCGAAGACGGGCATGAATGTCAATGATATCTTCTTGGCAATTGGTAAGTAATGAATCATAATTTAATAGAATGCAAATAATATTAATAATAATATCTGTAAATTGTTGTACAGCCAAGAAACTACCCAAGAATGACAACAATCCAGGAACTGTTATAAAGCCAAATGGAAACGAATCAACTCAAACGACGAACAACTGTTGCAAGTGATGTCCCTTTGTAGGTGTGTGTTGTGTGCGCCCATCAGCGAAATTATTTGGATCGTATAGAATTTCAATTTTAAATTGGTTGCTTTTTGTCATTGCAGAAAATGAAATTTCCAACGAGAGATTTGAAAAGTTTATGCTGATAATTATAAATAAAATCATTATTTAAAATTTAAAACTAATGCGGGCTCATAGGGGCAAACAATTTAATTTTCATGATTGATGATGATGATGAAACACATAAAGATAATATTAATTATAAATTAAATTAAATGAAAAAAAAAAAAAAAAACAAACAAACAAACAAAAGATAAAAGGAAAAAGTTAGTTTAAATAAAATAAAAAAACAACAACACATAGCCCCGTTAACACCAAACGATTAAAGCGCTCTTAAAACAATATTTTTACTATATCTGACCCCATAGTTCATAGCCGCCATTTAGAGAGCTCTCACTTCGATTTCATCTCAAACCAAATGCGTGTAGACGCATTCTAAATAAAATTTAACGTAAGCATTAATGAAAGCGGATTCAAGTTCACGTCGTGTCGTAGAAATGTTCAACAAAAATTTGCATTGTATAAAAAAGGAAAAAAACCGATATTCGAAAAAATTCCAGTTGCAGTTGTTCTCAGCAGCGTTCCAAATAAGAGAAAATCATATATATACATAAATATATATAGAAGATAATGATAAACCGAAAGATCAGTTCAGTTTTGGTTCAGTTCAGATCAGATCCGTAGTAGAGAAAAATCGCTCGTCCTCGATCTGTGGCAATGTGTGTGCCTATCCGGCTCTCTCCAGCTGCGTTGGGCACGTGTGATAGTTGCAATTTATATAAATTATATATATACACGTATAAAAAAAAGCAAAACAAACAAAAAATCTAATGAAAATTAAAAAAAAAAGAATTAAAAAATATAAAAACGAAAGAAATTATTCATAGATATAATTTTTTTGGTTCCATTTATGTTTAGCTTTATTCTTCGTTATTTTTTTTTTTTTACTATTATTTCACCTTCTAGCAACAATCAAAGATTTATTGCTATAACTAAAACTAAATAAGATACAAATCAATTATCGTAAACCCTCTTATGCAACATATAAGATGAAGTCTTAAGCCGATCAAGTTGAAGTATAAAATAAAAAAAAAAAAAAAAACAAATTGAAAGCTTGCTAAAAGTATTTTAAGTTCACAATTTGTTTATCTCGGTTCACAAATCGTATTTGATTTGAAATCTACTTACTATATATAGATGTACATGATGTATATGTATACATCTATATATGTATATATATCAACCAGCGATCAACCAAGC